GACAATAAAATTAAATTTAAGAAAAAAACATACCAGGTGCTAAGTAAGTGATTACAAATGAATTAACCATAGTATAATAGGCTCCATAGAGAGCTCAAATAATGCAATGCTTTAAAAAGACTAAGCCAAAGCCTAACAAAATATGTACCAAGAAATGGGTACTTGCAAGAGAGGAGGAGGGGCCAGGGGAGAGAGATAGAAGAATGAAGGGAGAAGAATGTAGGCAAGAATTTATTGTATATACCACAGAATTAAAAAAATATATGGGAACAGGTGGTTCGACTGGGGGTCAATGTTGAAGATGTTGAAATGATGACACAGATGAAGATGCACTGTATACATAAACTGCTTTGTTAAATGGCATGGAAGTTAATGCTTGTAACTTCAGTTACTTGAGAAACAAGGATCACTGTTTGATGCCAGCCTTGGCGACATTTAATCAGACCCTAACTCAGAAACAAGACTGTATACCACATCTATTCAGTAAGCAGAGACAGAAATATTACAGTTCAATACTAGCCTAGGCAAAAGTTAGTGAGCTCTTATCTCAAAATAAATTAGGGCGCCTTTCATTGTAAGTTTTTACTGAACAAACAGAATCATATGATTCTGCTTTTATGGATTTCATATAAAGAAAATCTAGGCAGGTATTCTAGCACTTGAGCTTCACCTCCAGCCTGATATAAAGACTTTAGATTAATCTAAGAACATGAATTGCTCTTAACACTAACAATTAACCATGTTAGACCAATTTAGATTTTTTTTACTAAATTCTAAAACAAATGCTGGTTATAATATGTATAATTATCTGTCAAAATCACAAATATTCAATGTCATTTTTCTCCATTTGCTTCATCTTAGTCCCTTTTTGAAGACCAGTTCTGTGTGAGCACATATGTGCATGGATATGGATAAAATAAAAACTATCTAGAAGGGTATATTCTAGACTATTAAGATAGCTTCCATTTATTTACTTAGCAATTTTTTTTCTGTAGTACTGTAATTATTCAATTTTTTTCACTAACACAATAAAGATCCATGAACCCACCAGGCAAAATAAACAGTAGAATCCTGACAAGTGCATGTGTCTGAGGCTCAGCCCTGCACCCATGTGCTCTTCCACATGGGAAACTCATTCTCACTCTCATTTCCTTTTAACTTTCCTCCTGGTACATTGTGAAGAGTTGCCCTTGAGTATGCACTTGCTCTTTCCAATATGGCAATCCATATGCGGCTACTGAGCATTTGACATTTGACATTTTAAGGTGATTTGGTTCTCTTATCAATTTAAAAACCTGAAGTAGTGCAAATGTGTCTCTATTAAATATAATCCCACTATTTTCTTATGACTATATTGTACTGTTCAGTCCTATGGCATTGTTGAGCTGAAGTTCACACATCAGATTCGTATGTCTTCCCTACTATTATAGATACACACATTGCCCATATCGTTTATATCCATGTACTCACTCAGTTCAAATGACCTATTCTTGTGCATCTAGATAATGTTCAGGTTGAGTGTGTTTAGACAGTATGAATTATGAAGATTCATTTCTACATCTTTCTGGAATTAAACTGGTATATGTGTTATGGTTTTAATACTGCATACATATCTTCAGTTAAAATAAACCTAGACAGGCAAGCCAAGTGCAATGATTTACTCCTATATTCCAAGCCACTCTGGATGTAGTTTCATTTACTTAGGAGGTAGAGAATGGGATGATCATAGTTTGAGGTCAAGCAAGACAAAACACATACACACATATACATACATACATGTACACACACACATATATATACATACATGTACACACATATGAAGCCCCATCTTGACCAATAAGCTGGGTGTGGTGGTTCATGCCTAATGTCAGTCTTAAGCAAACAACAGGAGCTATTATTTTAAAAATAACTGAAACACACACACACACACACACACACACACACACACACACACACTCACGGTTATAGGCGTGGCTGAAGTAATAGAGTGCCTATCTAGCAAGTTTGAGGCCCTGAATTCAAACCTCAGTACTGCCAGGAAGTAAATTTAATAAGCAGACAAATTGAAAGAACATAAAAAGAGGCAGAATTGAGAGGTAAAGAAATTAGTATAGGAGGGCTGGGAAGGTGGCTCGGTGGTAGAGCACTTGCCTTGCATGCATGAGGCCCTGGGTTTGATTCCTCAGCACCATATAAGCAGAAAAAAAAGCCAGAAGTGGCGCTGTAGCTCAAGTGGTAGAGTGCTAGCCTTGAGCTGAAGAGCTGAGGGACAGGGCCCAGGCTCAGAGTTCAGGCCCCACGAACGGACCACAAAAAAAAAAAAAATTAGTATAGGAAGCATAAAGAAAAATGGGAAGTGGAAGAAGCTATAAACTGCTGTTTTATGTTTGCAAAACAGTGGCATTAAAAGTAAAAATTAAACACCCAAGAAAACATTTTAAAAGAGACTCTGAGTTGGTCACTTTGTACAGGCATATATGATTTGTATTCTTACATACAAAAGGAAATAATTTTTCAATGGACATATGATTATTTCAGGTACAGAAATTTTGTAAAACTATGAGAAAAAGGTACTTCATAAAAAATAAGACTTTGCAACTGATTTATCAGATCACTGCCTGAAGAACAGAAGGTTCTAACAGAACCTAAGATAAGCTGATTAAAACTTGAAAAATCACATATACTTTTCTTTAGCTTTAGATGAAAGTGCAACATAAAAGATGCTGCCCAATTAATAATTCAGGTATGCTTTACTCAAAAGCCTTCCAACCTTATGAAGAAATGGAAATTTTTAACCTGAGAAGCTGAATTCATGTTTTAGATACTTTTAAATCAATCTCTTTTATCAAAGAACTTCAGCTAGATATGAAAAAAAAATCGATCTCAGCCAATGGTGTTTTAACCATGTTAAGTAAAAATAAAAGCAAAACAAAAAAAAAAACACTAAGAGGCCAAAGTTTCCCTTATTATTTTATTGTACCATCTATTTTCTTAAGTAGATTCTTGAAAAGTGTCATAGATACCATTGTTTAAATCATTCAGCATGTATTTATAAAGCTGGTTATTAGAAATTTTAAAAGAAATAGAAGAGGTTGAATTTAATTATCCTTTTTTGCCAGGGCTTACTGGTTCAGTCATGAGAGATTTTTGTAAATATGTACAGTACTGCGAGGTGCTGGTGGCTTATGCCTGTAATCTCAGGAGACTGAGATCTATAGATTGCAGTTTGAGGCCAGCCCTGGCAGGAAAATCTGTGGCATTTTTGTCTCCAGTTTACTACCCAAAACAGCCGGAAGTGGAGCTGTGGCTCAAGCATTTTAATGCTAATCTGCAGCACAAAAAGCTTAGGCACAGTGCCCAGGATCATCTGAGTTCAAGCCCCAGACCAGCACACACAAAAAAGTAGATATAAATATATTTACAGTGCTGTTACAACTCAAGATTTTATTAAATAAGAGTAACAGCTGCCAAATATTCAAGAATTAGGGACAAACATGGCAAGAGTAATTTATGTTCATGTATTGATATAACATTGCATATGAATGAACTAAATTTGAAGTTCTAAGAGAAAGAAAAGCAGATTTGTGACCTAACTACATAGCTACAAGAATTTTATATTGAAAAAGCAACTTTCCAGCATGTAATACAATAAATAATTTTGGAAATTTTTCCAACATGAATAAACTAAAAAGAGTTTGAATAAATTACAGACTCTGATAAACTCACAGCTGCTTATCAATTTATTATCAGTGTAAAGAATGTTGAATTGGTATGTGTATTAGTAAATTTATTGAACATATATAGTTTTGAAGCCAATATGCTTTTACTCCAAAGTCAAATCAAAATAACCATTTATGCTAATGGTGTGAAAATACTTTTTGGTACTTTAGTTACTAGAAAACTTTAAGTATACTTATAACTAGATGAGTATTTGATGGCTTTTCAATTGCAAATCTTATGAAATCTAAATGCAGATTTATTGTTTCTAATGAAAGGTTCATGTTCAATGAGATAGAAGTATACAAAAGGACTTTAGAAAGTTTAGTACAAAACTGTAAAGTGTTTCATAGTGTTATGGTGATCACATGTCAAAATAGAATTTTTGATTGAGTTAATAAAATGTTTGTGAAATTTAATTCTAATTTATTGCAATAGTATATAATAGCATACAATTCAATTAACATAATCACATTAATATATTTATTATATTAATATATTAATTATATACATGATTTATATTTTTCATTTAACCTATAAAACAATATAAAATTAATTTTAATTAATTATATTACACAAGTTAAACTATATATGTGGCTTAGGTTTTATTTCTGTTAGACATCATTGCTACACATCTAATAGTATTGCTGAGTTACAATATTTCATCATTTGACATTAGAAAATAACACAAAACTTTTTTCCAAAGATACCTTGCCAATTTACATTCCCATTATATCCTGTAATGTAGCTAGCTACTCAGGAGGCTGAGATCTGAGGACTGTGGTTCAAAGATAGCCTGAGCAGCAAAGTCCAGGAGACCATTATCTCTGTATTATGTCTAATGATTGGCATTTTCATATTTTAAAATATATTCTGAGTGGGACTGTCATTAGGATCGTAATTTTCATTTTCTTGGTTACTAACAATAATGAACATTTCCTCATGTATCAATTGGTTATACATATACTTTCTTCTTTTGAATATTTTCTTACATTTTGGCCATTTTTCTATCATGTTTCTGATAATGTTTTTCATATTCATTTGTAGTCATCATTGTTCAAGACCCTAACCATAAAGCGAACATAAAATCTGCTTAATCTTGTCTGTCAAATGAGTTCATTCTACGCCTTGACTGTCATGCCAACACCATGTTGACTCCTAAGGAATTAATAAGAGATCTTACAAGGATTCACTCTAGAAATCTAAAGATTTTTGGGGTCAAGCTTGGAGACTTGAGCAGAAATAGACAGATGAAAGAAAGGTAAAATTCTATATTATGTTACCTTAAATTTTCCAAGATAATATTCACACATTTAGGTCAAGTTTTCCAAATCAGAGGCCTGAAATTAGAAATTGTGATCATTCTTTTTCCTCTTCTTGCAGCAATGACACAAGAGCTTAAGCTCTAGCCTACGAATAAGTACATCTCAAGACTGTCTAAAACCAGACCCATGCTTATGTATGGGATGAAGTGAAGCATAGTTGTAACAGAAATTGTACTGAGGGGGAAAAAAGGTATCTTAGGGTTAAAAAAGCTGGGGAATTTGTCATTTTCCTATGTGATTTTCAAATAGCTGAGCTCTAGTTAACTACCTTTGTTAAAGGATCTAAAATATGTGGCAATGATTAAATAGTGCTTGGAAAGAAAATGACTACAATATATGGTATATATATATATATATGGTATATAGTAGGTACTCTGATGTTTTCTGAACTGGGAAATAAAGACTATCACTAGTGTTCATTACAAAATTTACAACAGTTTTCTTTTGATCCTCACAACTCTTCATTTCTATTTTATAATTGAGAAGACACCTAGATAAATAACATGATTATTCACTATTCTTCAGCTAAGAAACAAAAGCAAGATTAAACCTACCTCTTCTGAACTCAAAGTTGAAAACCATTACAATGTCATGATTCCTTACCCCTGGTGTAGTATTGTTTCCTTTTTTTTTTTTTTTGGGGGGGGGGGTCCGGTCATGGGGCCTGAACTCTGGGCCTGGGAGCTGTCCCTCAGCTCTTCAGCTCAAGGCTAGCGCTCTACCACTTGAGCCACAGCGCCACCTCCGGCTTTTTTCTTTTTTCTTATGTGGTACTGAGGAATCGAATCCAGGGCCTCAGGCATGCAAGGCAAGTGCTCTACCACTGAGCCACCTTCCCAGCCCCAGGAGTATTGTTTCCTTAGTAATGAAAAATGCATTTTCTTTTTGAATTAATTAGTTGTTTATTTGTGCTGGTTCCGTGGCTTGAATACAAGGCCTGAGTGCTGTCCTTGAACTTTTTTTCTCAAGGCCGGTGCTCTATCGCTTGAGTCCCAGCTCTACTTCTGGCTTTTTGGTGCTTAATTGGAGGTAAGAGTTTCACAGACTTTCCTGCCCAAGCTGGCTTTGAACCATGATCCTTAAATCTCAGTCTTCTGAGTAGCTAGGATTACAGGTGTGAGCTTCCAGTGACTGGCTAATTAAATGCCTTTATTCTTATAGGGTTTTCTAAAACAATTTCAGACTAATACAAAAGTCAAATATAGTGCAAAACTCCAATGTCCTTTACCCAGAGTCCCCCAAATTGTTGCTATTTTGTCACATTTACTTTATTATTCCTTTCCCTTTATTATTCTCTCTGAAATACAAAACAAGCAGAAAAAAAATCTCAATTGAAATATTTTTAAATACATACTTTTTTTTAAAGACATTTAAGCAAAAGTTCCTAGGAGCCACCCTGTTGTCCATTCTTAATGTAGAGGTCAGTGGTTCTCAACTGGAGATGATTTTGTCCCTCAAGAACACTTAACAAGGCTAGAGACATTTTTGGTAGTCACTGTTGGAGAGGAACACCACTGACATTTAGTCAGTAGAGGCCAAGGATTTTGCTAAACAACTTGCAATGCACAGGACAGCTCCATAAACAGCACGGCCTTTTACATTTTATGTGTTTAGAGATCTGGCAAGTGTTGTGAATCCAAGACCTGATTCAAACACAAAAGCACTAGCCATTGCAATATTATGTTTACTTATCATCTCCAAGTCTGTGATATCTTGGCTGGAGGAATTTGCATATCCTCACCATCTCCATCTCCCCTGTCTAACACCTTAGTCACTACTTGTAACCATATAAAGGAAACTTCTATTTTCAGTAAAGGTGGAGTGATGGGGCCATAACCCTTTAAAGACAACTGGAAAAGGCAAACTATTTTTTTCCTTTTAAATGGCACTGAAAATATTCATCACAGGCAGGAAAGGATATTGATCCCTAAGAGATGAGAAATAAAGGAAAGGATTTCAAGTGTGCACAGGGCAGTCCTAGAGAGGAAAAGATACATAAAGGAACTCTGAAGATCTGCACATCTTCACCAGCATTTACCTATGAGGAATGTAGCTAGGGAAAGAACCATCAAAAAGATTACGGTGCCCAGTTATTGGAGATCATCCAAGGAGGAAAGAGTATCTCTTCAGCATTTAAGCCAGAAAGGAAAATCTCATAATTCACAACCACTGTTTTTTACTTTTGTACTTTGTACTTTGTTTTAAAGTACAAAGGAGGGGGCTGGGAAGTTGGCTCAGTGGTAGAGCGCTTGCCTTGCATGCCTGAGGCCCTGGGTTAGATTCTTCAGCACCACATAAGCAAAAAGAAAAGTGGCGCTGTGGCTCAAGTGGTAGAGCACTAGCCTTGAGCTGAAGAGCTGAGGGACAGCGCACAGGCCCAGAGTTCAGGCCCCACGACTGGACCCAAAAATAAAAAAAATAAAAAATAAAAATAAATAAAAAAAGTACAAAGGAGGGTCTTGCCTCAGTAAATGTAGCTCCAGTGTGGATTAACAAAAAAAGATTTGAAGATAAAACTGTTTCCAAGTAATTTAATGGTACTCCAGGACAAAAATCAGGCATATTTCTAGGCATTTAAACAAACATCTAGTACCTAGCAAGGTAAAGTTTATTCTGTCTAGAATTCAATAAAAAAAAATTGTCAGATATGTAAGCTGGGCCCCGGTGGCTCCTACCTGTAATCCTAGTTACTCAGGAGGCTGAGATCTGAGGCTTGTGGTCAAAGCCAACCCAGGCAGGAAAAGTTCATGAAATTCTTCTCTCCAATATACAACAATTTAAAAAGCCGAAAGTGGAACTGTGACTCAAGGGGAAGAGCAGGTGTTGTACTACTTAAGCCATGTCACTAGGCCCTTTTGATCTGGCTATTTTGAGATAACATCTTGCTTTTTTTGTCCAGGCTAGCCTGGACCATGATTCTTTTATTTATGCTTGTCACCAGAGCTAGATGATAGTCATATGCCACCATGCTGGACTTTTTTCTGTTGAAATGGAGTCTTACAAACTTTTTTGCCACAACTGACCTGGAACTGTGATCCTGTTTTCAGCCTTCCTTGTAACTAGGATAACAGGCACATGTCATTATACTGATGATATACTAATGTGATAATGTCTCAGATTTTCCCCCACATTGGCTAGGAACCATGATTCTCCATAGATTGGCACCTCTCAGGTAGGCATCACTCTCCAGTTCCTGGCAAAACTTACTATTACTTACTATTATCTCTTAAGTATATGTAATTTGCTACGTGTACATTATATTTCAACTAAGTTAATTTTTAAATTAAGTTCAATGAAAAGTTCAGTTCATTAGTTACACTAACCACATTTCAAATATGTTAACAGCCACATGGAGCTAGTGATTACTATTCTGTACAGCACGAGTATGAAGTATTTCCATCATGGCTGCAAGGACTACAAGTAGTACTTGCTCACCTTGTGAGGAAGCATCATTTTCTGTCACTTGTTTTACATCTACCTAGCCTGAAGTTTCAGAATGGGAATAAGCATGGACATATGAAATTGATATTAAAAATTACTGAGCCTTTTAAAAACTGTACTCCATTAATTTTCAATGTAACTTTTCTGTGAAGCAAAATACACTATTTATAAACATCACAGCTTCTAGAGATTTTATTTATTTCCCTTCAAACTGCAAGTTGACAACAATTTTAAACTAAAGAAGTGAAATAGGTAACATCCTTGGAACTTACTTTTTCCTTGTCATCAAAATGGGTACGACACCAATAGAACCCAATAGAACGCCTAAATAAGCATTTGCATTTTTTCCATATACTCACAGGTACTTTGCCAGTTAGTCTTTTGTTATGTTTTAGAATATTATGCTACGTTATTCGACTGAACTGCCCTTATGCAACAAATATAATCAGAAGTTTGTCATACACTCAAGAAACAGTTATTTAAAAAAAACAGGGCAGAGAAGTTAGTAAAACTTAGTATTCTGATGTAACCTTGTCCTCTCCCATCCCCCACCCCCAACAATAGCTCCCAATTCTGAAAGACTGTATTTTCTGAGCTTTCCCTGGCTAGTAGCATATGAACTTGGAAGGCAGAGTCTATGTAAGCTCAGTTTTTGTCTCAATTCAGAAAATTCAGAGTTGGAATCCATAACCCTCTTTTGTTTTTGTTTTTTTTGTTTTTTTTTTTTTTTTTTTTTTTTTTTTTTTTTTGTCGGTCATGGGGCTTGAACTCTGGGCCTGGGCGCTGTCCCTCAGCTCTTCAGCTCAAGGCGAGCACTCTACCACTTGAGCTACAGCGCCACTTCCGGTTTTGTGGTGGTTTTTATTGGAGATAGGAGTCTCACGGTCTCTCCTGCCCGGGCTGGCTTTGAACCGCGATCCTCAGATCTCAGCCTCCTGAGTAGCTAGGATTACAGGCGTGAGCCACCAGCGCCCGGCTCATAACCCTCTTTGATCCCCTGCCTGCTATGCTAACCTCTGAGGCACATTTTGATGTCTGAGTGAGCACTGTCTTAGAAACAGAATACAGAAGAAGCCAATTGGAGTAAGAGGGAATAAGGGAGCTGGTGGAGATAAGCCAAGACAGCCCAGACCTGTGTATTGTGGCAGGTAAGGAAGGAAGATGAAAACAGAAACCAAGTCCCTTTTGTTCCATAGCTTCACTTACTTTTTTACACCGACAGAGCCATTTTCCTTGTTTTCCATGTCAACAGATAGCATGGGAAGGCTGCAGGGTTCCTTTACTTCAGCAACTAATCAATAAGGGAGAAAAGCTTGTGTTTAATTCTTAGAAAGTGAGAGGAAAATATATATTCTGAATCGGAAGCATAATGATCCCTTTCAACAGCTTCACACCAGTCCATGAATGTTTGCTTAAATCTCCAGTTTCTCCAGCAATTGGGAGAGATGTGATTAAACCAAAGGAGCTGGAGGAAGGACTGGGGTGCTTTCATCCTCCTGGCACTTCTGACTTCCACAATAAGCATTTGCAAATGAAACAAAATCTGTCTTCAAAAACAAGTGCTGTGTGACCTGGCTGCCTCAGGGTGCCAAGCTCTTACTTAAGACATTGCAACTAGTAAATGAGTCAAAGTAGAAAAACAATTCCCTTTCTCTCCCATCTTGAGCTGTGATTTTCTTTTCTTTCACTGATTGTGTGTGTGTGTGTGTGTGTGTGTGTGTGTCCACTCCTGCTTTGAGCTTTCATTACAATGCAGAAGAGCATTTAAGCTTTTGTTGCAAGTGCTTCTCTACCTCACAAATTCTCAACGAAAGCCTCAAAAACCGATCAGGAGATAGTCAGACTGTGGTAAAGTAGGAAGCTCACAAAAATACCAGGTAGCCTTCAGCACAGAAATGTGGTACTGTGTGTGTGTGTGTGTGTGTGTGTGTGTGTGTGTGTGTGTGTGTGTGTATTGTGTTACACAGCTCTTTGGATTTATGTAAAATCATCAAAACGTTGAAGGAGGTATAGTAGCACCTATCACTCTTTTTGTTTGTAGGATAAGAACTGTGAAAAAATAAAAATCCTCCACAATTAACATATAATTAACAAGATACAACAGCTACAAAAAAAAATGCCTCCCGAAGGAAAAAAAAAAAGGGAAGGGGAAAAAAGAAAGGGAAAAACTAGTCCCAAAACATGCCTGCTCTTATTCAGCAGAAGCCATAAATTAAATACATTTCCTCTGGAATCACTTTCTAGTTCGGCACTCCTTCTCCGGGGAGGATTACTCTGACATGGCAAGTGCATCGTTTAGTATAGTCACAGATTTTTATCACTGTTAGAGAAGTAATTAACAAATAATACTCTAAGTGTGGGATAATCTCACTTCTGAAACACACACACACACACACACACATACACACACACAAACTTCCAGTCACTAAGCCACTTAGATCATTTCTAAAGAAACCCACCACTTAATATACATAGAGATATTAGCATACATTCACAGCCCGTTCGTTCCAGAGTAGACAGGAAGATAGTGCTAAAAGAATGACTGCACTTCAGTTGGAAACAGTTTACATATTCACCATTTTCTAAGCATCTCAGAAACCAAACCAAAACAAAACACTCACAATGATACTCTGCAACATCACACTACATTGTCTTATTATTATTACTATTATATTTCTTTTTTCTGTGGAAAAGTAAAAAGAAAACCTACCTATAAGCAACTAAAATATATCATTTTTAAACGTTTATCAAGAACAGCCAAAGAAACCCCAATGTTTTCTTTCACAAAGTAGGCTGGCAAAGGAATTCAATAGGAGGTACAATTTGACACAGTGAAATAAAACCAGGCTGGCTCTCAGCCAACATGACGTTAGGAATTACACACAAGCTGCACCAACTGCCTTCTGGTTCATGGCTGACTTTTTAAAGCTACAGTGTGCCTGTTCACTTGGGCTAACTACCCCCAGCACAATTAGCGGAAGTGAATGAACCCCAAGTCCAAACATGGCAGTATTCTCCCTGCACTTGTGTAGTGCAAAGGAAAACAAGCTGTCTTAATAATTTATTTCCTTCCTCCCCTTCATCGTTGCTGGCATCAGTTGCTCTGAGCATGAATGTCACATTTCAAACTATTTCTTTTTCTCCACTGTTGGAAGGATGAGAACTCAGGGTTGCTTCTGGGTTATACTGAGTGAACACTTAGAAGCTATACAGCTATATTACTTTTCCCTGACAGAGCCATGGACAAAGTTCCCAGAGCTGGCTTTTAAGCAATCTCTTTGTAAGAATAAGAAAAACAGTGCCCAGCAATGAATTTCTCTACTTCATTTTGCAGAAAATAGCATCTTTAAAAGAGGATGCAAAACAGAAAACCAAATCTCCTAAAAACAGCCAAACTTTTTATTTCATCCTACCCAATGAAGCTAACAAAATGCTAAGCTGAAACAAACAAAACTTTATTCTATAAAAGAACAATTTTGTGATGTTTAATTTTGTTTATCCCATTTGGGTAAAAAGCATAATCCAATGAATACGACCAATATTTATAACCTGCAGAACACTTGGTACTGGATGAGTCACATTTACATAAGAAGGTACTTGCAAATCTCAAAACTCAGTGTTTCCCAATACTATCCTAAGCCCCAGTTTGGAAAATTATAAAGTGAAATGCAGTCTAAGTGATACCTTTTATTTAAATTACCGTGGTTAACATTACAGTTCCCTGGCTTTGCTGGGAACCATTTCTAGAGAATATTCACTTCTCATAAATGTTTGGCAAATACCCAGAAAACATATGCTTGTCTAATTTAAATAAACACCAGTCATATTTGGATGCTTTTAAGTCAAGAGATTCATAACAGCTTTCAAACTAGGAAGCAGAATACAAGTTCCTAGAAAAAGTTCTGTGACAATGTATAAACTAGGAAGAATGGAGGACAAAAATAATTACACTCCCCCCCCTTTTCCTTAATAATCTTTGAGGAGACTAAGTGACCAGTAACTCTGATCTCAGTTTGGGAAGTCAGTTCCAACGTTCAAATTCCCAAGTCAATTCCCTTTACTTATTCCAAGAATGATAGAAATCTTCAACTTCCAAAAAGGCCATCCCTGAGAAACATCTCAAATGTTTTCTTAACCCCTGTGCCATGGAAATCATAATTTAAGCACCAACTCTGAATGTTCAGATATCATTGGGAATCCTTTTGTGAGCATGAGTCTGGCATGTGGATACATCACCACTGTTAATCAAAACTGATGAGACTTTTTGCTGGGCACAGGTGGCTCATGCCTATATGATCCTACCTACTGAGGAGGCTGAGATCTGAGGATCATGGTTAAATCCAGCATGGGCAGGAAAAACAGTGAGACTATCTCCAATAGACCCACAAAATGCCAGAAGTGGAACTGTGGCTCCAGTGGTGGAGCTCAAGCCTTAAAGGAAGAGGCTAGGGGAGAATACCCAGGCCGATTCAGGACACACACACACACACACACACAGAGGGCTGCGTGTGCAACTTTTATAGAGATAAAGAGATCTTTCACCAACACATCTACAATGTTTTGGGACTTGGTGTGAAGTTTCTGAACTGTTCTCCAACGAAATCCAAATGGAAGGGAACTGGGCTGTGAGTCTTCCAGACAAGGAAGCAGGAAGGTGCTCTGGCAGCACTGTTCTGAACAAAAGCATGTGGATTCTGTGAAGTTTCTCCATAGAATCTTCCTAGACTATAGAAAAGGATATCCTCTCCTGTCTTCCCTGCTGCGATCAAAAGTTTGCCTCTTAAACAAGAACGGGGGTTTCAGCAAGTATTCCAGGAAATCAGTCCCATTTCTTCAAAGGTGAACCCCACGAAGGCATTATAAATGACAAGAGGTTTCACTTACCAGCTAGTTTCTGACTGTAGTAATGAACTGACACTCTGACTCTACATACGTAGCACATACCAGCCCTCACCCACTCCCTCCCTCCCTCTACCCCTTTGGGGTGATGGTAGGTATATGCAGAGTACACTATGCGGCGAGTGCTGTGTGGTAACTGGATGTGGTGAGCTATCCAATGTTACAGGATTGTGGTTCTGATCCAGCATGCGGATCGAGGAGGACTTGCCTTCAGAATTCTGGAGAAAACCATTTTCTTTTTTGAGGGGGGTGGGGGTAGCCTTGGAAGCGCACGGGGGGGGGGGGGGGGGGAGGAGACGGGTCCGAAGAGAGAAAGAGAGAAATGGTGCCTTGATTGGCTGCTTTTATTGACGACCACAGATGGGGTCCAAAGGGGCCGCCGGCCGGCGCCTCAGTCCCCGGTGGTGGGCCCCGGGCGCCCCGGCTCCCAGTCACTCGCGGGCGGGTCAAGCGCAGGAGGGGCGCGTGGACGGCGCGGGCGGGCCGCGCCCCTCCCCGGGGAAGGGGCAGGGTGCCGCGAGGCCGCGCCGAGGCCGCCGCTCCCCCGGTCTCCGGGACCCGAGCGTCCCCCTAGAGGCGTGGCGCCGGCCAGGAAGGGGGAAAGTTCTAGCTAGGACTTTCGCCGGGACACAGTGCGGTCGCTCTTGGGCTCCGGGGCTCCCGGGGAAGTTGGGAGGAGGGCGCGGAGGGGCCCCCGTCGGCCGGTCCCGCGCGCTCTGCCCCTCGGCCCGCGCGGGGCGCGCTCCACGCGGGGCTGGGCGCGCTCCGCCCCGAGCGACCGTCCACACTCGGGGCACCACGAGCCGCCGGACACCGCGGACAGGACCGGGGACAGGCGGCGCGAGGGGTCATTTCGTGTCCTCCCTTCTGCAGGAGTTCTTCACTTCCTTTCATCCCGGAAAGGAGGACCGGGCGGGCGCGTTTGCAGACCCTCGCCGCTCGCCCGCGCCCCTCACTTACCTCCCGCATGGCCGCGCCGGGAGGTTTGCCCCGCGCAGCGCGGGGAGGGGCGCCCGCCACGCGCTGAGCCCCCAGACAACGACGGGCGCGCGCGGCATGCCGGGAGTTGTAGTCCTCCGCGGTTGCGGGGCGGGGGTGTGGGGTGGGGTGTGGTGTCTGGTAAGGGAAAGGCGGAGGGGTGGAAAGGGATCGGGAACTCCAGAAGCAAAGACCAGAAGGGAGGGGATTGGCTCTGGGACCTTGGCAACCTGAGGGAGGACGTTCGCAGAAACTTCAAATTGGCAGGGAGCTGGACGGTGAAGAGGACCCTATCCCCCTAAAAAGGTGTTTCAAGTGCTGGCTGTCAGGTTCAGACCCTTGCTTCCTGTCTTGCTGGCTCCCGATCACTCTCACTCGGCTGTAGTGTTAAGCTGGACTTTGGTCAGTAATGATGAAAGATTCCCGGACTGGCTTCGTATAATTTAGGGCTGTTCTTCCTTCACTCTGAACTCACCTGTAGCATTCTGTCTTGCAACACCTGTTCTGTTGCTTACTGAGTAACTGTGGAAGCCCTTGGCCTGCCACGGGAAGAGGAACAGTTACATCTTGTATTTGTAGACCGCTCTACCTACGGCACGTGTGGCAAAGCACTTTCATTCCATTAGAACCATAAAGCCACCAGGGGATTTCAGCAGAAAGAAAGCTAAAGATGCACCCGTGGAGGTTGGAGCCACTGCCTTCTCCAGCCCTGTCCTTAGCAAGGAGGTAGCCAGGAGAAGGAGGGCTGGGATCAGGTTTGATGGACACAGCAAAACAAGGGATTTTCTTGAAATAACAGATGAATAACTCTACAGTACATAAAGAAAATAAATGAATCAACTGTGAATTGGAAGAGTACAAGGGAAAGCAAAATGCAGTGGTATAGAGATGGAGATTCGATAGATTTTGAGAAGACTAGAGATAATATGAAAAAGCTATGTCAAGAAGAAAGCAAAACAGATTTTAGTGACCTGGGATCTTGGTATTGTCACTTCTGAGTTAGTTCTGTGACCTGAGGTAGGTTATTTAATCTTCCTAAATCTCTTTGCCTCTTTAAAATATAATAATTGTGTAATAATAGTTGTGATGTGGCAGGGCAGATTAAAATAGATGGGAAGTGCTTAGAATAGTGTCTGGCACATGATAAGCTCTCAAATCATTTTAGCTACTATTATTATCTACAGAAAGATCTCGGTGAAGGCAGAAAGCAAATACTGTAAGGTTGAGTGACAGGGGAACCAAGGAAGGAGGAAGTGGTGAGGAGGAACTTGTCAACACAGTCAACCACAGTGGTGAGGTAGCCAGGGACAACAGAAAAGAGGACTCTAGATGTAGAAATGCTCCTGCAAGCTGTTTTGGAAATTTACCAGAGTGATTTTGCTTTTCCTAGTGATTGGGAAGGGACGCTAATGTTGGGCAAAAATGCCAGACTCCTTCCCTTGCCTGGGATAATCCTGCATAGTATACATACTGTTTTTTTCTATTCATGTCAGTGGAAACCTATTTCTAATTATCTGAGACTGGAATCTATTTTGCATTTAAATATAAAGCGTTTTCCAAACAGCTTGAAATATATTAAATTCTCTTTGAATGCAGAAAGTGAATGACAATACCATAGAATTTGAATCATCAGTACAGCTCATTTGTTGGCTGTCTTTACATGGTGTGTCAACAGTTGGACCTACATGGCTGAGTATTCCACTAGTATTTATTATTCCTGCTTAATAGTTACATACATACACCAGCTGATCAAACTCTTTACCTTGTCCTCTCTCCAGTCTCTAGTAACCCAATGCCCTTGAAATTTCAGAGTGAGGAAACAGCAAAGTTGCCAGTGTGGATGGATTAGAGAGACTAGAGTTTGAGTGGGAGGTCTGTGAGTAACCTTGGATTGGGGGCAGGTAATGTAGAATTTG